GTCGACTACACGTAAGAGTGGCCCTTCGCCAGAGTGACTTCTGGTGCGGGCTCCTCGGGGCCCCTCCCGATCGCGGAGCGCGATGCGATAGCAACGTTCTGCGCGCCTGGGTCTGGCCCCCTCGCTCCCCCCCAAAAGCCTCGCACCAAAGGTCACTCTTACCCAGGGCCACTCTTGCTTCTAGCCGAGAGGGGATCCGGGCGTTGCGAGAGAGCGCGGCGGCCAGTCCTTGGCGCCGTTCTCGGCCTCTTTGCGGCCGCTTCCTGGCCGCGGGGCCGTCGAGAAGCGACTCCGGATGCCAAGCTGGCCCCGAGGCGGCGGGCCCAGACATCCGACGGCTCGATTTTGTCGAGACGCGGGCCCCCGACCTCCCGACCACTTCCCCGGGACTGGTTTTTCATCCCGAGTCGTTTTTTGACGCTCCCGAGGCCCGGCGGGGGGCCCGACAGGCCCAAAAACTAGGAGAAGCCTCATGCCTCGATTTTCTCGAGACGCCCGAGGTTTGGGGGCGAGAGCCCCAGGGGCCGGCGCCACAGAAGCCACACGCCGCCGGGCTGAGAGCGCCAGCATCCACCTCCGGAGGCCCGCGCGGAGCTTTCCCAGGTCGGCGCCCGCCCGGCGGCGCCTCCCCCTCCCTCGGGGTCCTGGGGGAGAGGAGGGGGGGAGGAGGAGGAGGAGGTCTGCAGGAGGAGGAGGAGGAGGAGGAGGAGGAGGAGGAGGAGGAGGGGAGGACGGAGGAGGAAGGAGGCGAAGTAGGTGAAGGAACGGAGGGGGGGGTGAAGGAGGAGGAGGAGGAGGATGGAGAGGGGAGGGGGGGGAGGAGGAGGGGAGGAGGAGGGAGGAGGGGAGGAGGAGGAAGGAGGGGTAAGGAGATGTAGGAGGAGGTTTTTCTGAGGAGGGAAGGAGAGGGAGGGAAGGGAAAGGCCGGGGTAGGAAGGGTTTCTTGGCTTCGGCAGGATGGGCTCGTCGGACAGCGGTTTTCTGGAGGAGGCACCGCGGGGGGGTGTGGTTGAGGGAGGCGGGTGGGGAGTTTCGGAGGAGGAGTAAGGAGGAGTGCGGAAGGAGGGGAGGAGTCGAGGGAGAGGGCAGGGTGGTAGTGGAGGAGGTCTATCCTAAGGTCAGAACGGTCAGGAGTGGGGCCCCTGCTTCGCGGGCGCGCTCTCTGCGTGGCGGCGAGTGGTGCGGCCTCGCTGCGCGCCATCGGAAGGGTGGGGGGCGCCGTACCGGCCGGGCAAGCGCGCGCGAGCCGCCGGCAGTTTGTGCTCGTGATTTTTTTGGGGGGGGCCCTTGCAGGCTCGGGCAGCGCCGGGCAGGAGTGCACCGCCAGGGACTACATGAGCAAGCTCCTCGCCTACGTCCACGAGCAGCTCTCGAATCGGGACGTGTTTCCCATCGACGAGGGCGCCCTTTTCCCAGAGGAGTCCGAGAGGGTTGCCCAGCAGCTGTCCAGGCGCATGTTCCGCGTCTACGCGCACGCGTACCTGTCGCACTTCGCGAGGGTCCAGGAGGAGAACCTGGAGGCGGAGCTCAACTTCTGCTACAAGCACTTCCTCTACTTCGTGAAGGATCGGGTGCTTGCAGAACTGACCCTGGACCAAGCTGTCGCCTCTGGCGGCGCCAAGGGGGCCCCGATCAAGGCACGGAAGTGGCGCGGAGGACCCAACGTGGTTCTGTGGCCGGGTACGCCAGGGAGGCGTCAGCGAGGCGGGACCGACCGCGCAGGGCATGCGCTCGTGAGCTGCCCGCGTGAGGCCGCGCGGCAGCTGCCTCTCCTCCACTCGGCGTGCCGCGCTGGCGGCCCGCGCACGCCACCGCGTCGTCGTTGGCTGGGCAGACTGGCCATCGTGCTCGTCGTCGACGACGGACGACGACGACAGACTGGGGAGACTGCCCATGGCAGACGACGGGCGACGACGGTGGGTGCACGTTAGCTGGGCAGACTGCCCATGGCCATGGGCTGTGCCTCTCGCCAGGGACTCAGGAGTGGCTTTGTGCGGCAGTCGCAGGCAGGGTGTCGTCCACAGGTCGAATCACTCGGACCGTCTGCGCAGTTCCATGGTCTCCTGACGACGAGCCCTGGCATTGTTCTGGCACGGGAGACTGTGGAGGAATCCGAGGTGAGCCCCACCTTCGTCGCGCGCCCTCGTGCGGAAGGTCGACGCGCCCTCGTGCGCAAGACCTCCTCGTCGTCGCCGCTCTCCTTGGGCCGGGGGTTGCTCCTGGCAGCACCCGAGAGGAGTTCGACCTCGTCGGCGACCGCGAGCTGCTGCCCTTGCACGAGCTGAATAAGAGGTGGCTTGGCTGCAGCTCCTGGGATCTTGGATTCAGCACCGTCTGTGGTCGAAGACCGTCCCAATCCGGCTTCATCCCACCTGGTCCCGCTTGATCGGGCCGACAGTCAACCCGCAGAAGTAAGGATGAGCTCGCAACGTGTCGGCATGGCCCTCCAAGGCCCTGGCATCCTGCTCGTGCGTCCTCAGCGTGCGGGTCGATTCTAGTGTGGTCTAGTCCTGGGCCCACGCCAGCCCAACTCGGCTTCACAGTCCTTCAGTCCCAGATCTTCGTCGTCATGCTTCTTTTCACGACGTGTCCCCAGGACCCGCTTTTCACCCCGCGTCGTTTTGGGACGGTCCTGGGGCCTGGCGAGGGCCCCCAGTGGCCGAACCCAGAGATCCGATGCCGCGATTTTTGCAATGCGCGGTCCCTGGAAGTCTCGACCCACTCCCCAGGACCGGTTTTTCATCCCGAGTCGTTTTATGACGGTCCCGGGGCCCGGCGAGGGCCCCTATAGGGGCCGAACTTTGCGTACAATCTCCGTCTTAGGAGGACGAGGACGAGGAGGAGGAGGAGGAGGAGGAGGAGGAGGAGGAGGAGGAGAGGATGGGGGGACGGTGGAGGTAGGAGGGAGATGAGGAGGGGGAGAGGAGCAAGAGGAGGTAGGAGTGAGAGGAAGGAGGAGCTAGAAGGAGGAGGGAGGGAGGGAGGAGGACGTGGCAGGGGAACATCAGGGGCCTGCATGAGGAGCGGCACTTGGAGGGAGGTAGGGAGGAGGAGGAGGAGGAGGAGGAGGAGGAGGAGGAGGAGGAGCAAGAGCAGGGATGCTTTCAATGCGCCTTGGATCTCTGGGAGCCTTGCCCCGCAGCCTCCCGTCGCCTCTGGCCCTGGGATCGGGCTCGACAGCTGCGGGCCTCTCCCGCGGAGGCCCCCCAGGGGTGGCCGCCCACCAGAGGTGGCTTTACGCCTGTCCCCTCTACAGGGGGGAAAGTCGAAAATGGTGAAACAATCCATGGGGACGTTTTTTATTCCCGGAAAGGGCGCGGGCCCAGGGTTCTCTTTTAGCCGTTTACCCCCGGATCTGACGGGTCAAGCGCCGGCGAAATTATTTGCGATAAATATCACGTAGGTAAAGTGCTGATTCTGTTTGAAAAAAGAAAAAGTGCGGTTTTTGTGCGTGCGCCTGCTCGGAGGAAAGTTCGCCCCCCATCTCGGATCCTCGATAAATAACGGGGTCCGCAGACCCCCGCTTTCCCTCGTAAAAAAGAGGGTGCGGAGCGTTTTTCCCGGAAAGGGCGTGGGCCCAGGGTTCTCTTTTAGCCGTTTACCCCCGGATCTGACGGGTCAAGCGCCGGCGAAATTATTTGCGATAAATAACGAGGTAAAGTGCTGATTTTTTTAGAAAAAGTGCGTTTTCTGCGTGCCCGCTCGAGGAAAGTTCGCCCCCCATCTCGGATCCTCGATAAATAACGGGGTCCGCAGACCCCCGCTTTCCCTCGTAAAAAAGAGGGTGCGGAGCGTTTTTCGCAGAATCCTCGAAAAATAACGGGGTCTGGAGCCACGACCGCGACTCGGAAAAGCGCCCCGCGCGCAGGAATTCCGAGGATGTCTCGCGCGTGCCGCGTCCCGCGCGCAGGAATTTCGAGGATGTCTCGACTAATTCGCTTGTTTTGTCAGGATTTCTTAGAACTTTGGCAGGATGTCTCGAGCGAAACGCTTATTTTAAATAGTTTGTGGAGGATGTCTCGAGCGAAACGCTGGTTTCCGCAAAATTTGGAGATGTCTCGAGCGGGGGGCCAGAATTCAGAGGATGTCTCAGGCGAAATGCTTGTTTTCGTGTCCCGCTCGCGGGAATTCCAAGGATGTCTCGCGCGGGCCGCGTCCCGCGCGCAGGAATTTCGAGGATGTCTCGACTAATTCGTTTGTTTTGTCAGGATTTCTTAGAATTTTGACCGGATGTCTCGAGCGAAACGCTTGTTTTTTCATAATTTGTTGAGGATTTCTCGAGCGAAACGCTGGTTTTGCAAACTTTGGGGATGTCTCGAGCGGGGGCCTCGTGGGGGGCCAGAATTCAGAGGATGTCTCAGGCGAAATGTTTGTTTTCACGTCCCGCTCGCAGGAATTCCAGGGATGTCTCGCGCGTGCCACGTCCCGCGCGCAGGAATTTTGAGGATGTCCCGTAGCGCGTCCCCTTGGCACGGCCTACGGTGCGACCCCATGGCACGTCCCTTGGCACGTCGCCTGGCGCGTCCCTGGGGACGTTTCGCGGCGCGTCCTCCTGGCATGTCCCCCTGTCAATTAGCTCTGGGGCAGCTACTATGTGTTCAGGAAGCTCGAGCTTCAGATCCAGATCAGTTCGGTCAGGACTTGGATGCAAAGGAAGACTCGCGCGCAGGAATTACGAGGATGTCTCGCGCGTGCCGCGTCCAGCGCGCAGGAATTTCGAGGATGTCTCGACTAATTCGCTAGGTTTTGCAGGATTTTCCGTAGGAGGGCCAAGGAGAGGCCCCGAAGGCTCTGGGAGCGGCGACGACGACGACGACGACGACGACGACGACGTCTCTTGGGGTTCTCTTGGACGGTTTGTAGAGTCCACGCTTACATGATCGACGGGTCGAGGACAGCGCGACGACGACGACGTCGCGGTGGCGGCGGCGTCCACCACGACGACAAAGTCTCATCTTAGAGCCTTGCGTGGGGGGGTCTCTTGGGGTTCTCTTGGAGGTTCTCTGGAGGGTCTGTAGAGCCCACGCTTACACGATCGAGGGATCGAGGACAGCGCGACGACGACGACGACGTCGCGGTGGCGGCGGCGGCGACGACGACGACGACAAAGTCTCATCTTAGAGCCTTGCGTGGGGGGGTCTCTTGGGGTTCTCTTGGAGGGTCTCTTGGACGGTTTGTAGAGCCCACGCTTACACGATCGAGGGATCGAGGACAGCGCGACGACGACGACGACGTCGCGGTGGCGGCGGCGGCGACGACGACGACAAAGTCTCATCTTAGAGCCTCTCGTGGGGGGGTCTCCGGGGGTTCTCTGGGAGGGTCTCTTGGGGGTCTGCAGAGCCCACGCTTACACGATCGAGGGCTCGAGGACAGCGCGACGACGACGACGACGTCGCGGTGGCGGCGGCGGCGGCGATGACGACGACAAAGTCTCATCTTAGAGCCTTGCGTGGGGGGGTCTCTTGGGGTTCTCTGGGAGGGTCTCTTGAGGGTCTGTAGAGCCCACGCTTACACGATCGAGGGATCGAGGACAGGGCGGCGGCGGCGACGACGACGACAAAGTCTCATCTTAGAGCCTTGCGTGGGGGGTCTCTTGGAGGGTCTCTTGGGGGTCTGTAGAGCCCACGCGCGGTGGCAGCGGCGGCGACGACGACGACAAAGTCTCATCTTAGAGCCTTGCGTGGAGCGGTGTCTTGGGGTTCTCTTGGAGGGTCTCCTGGGGGGTCTGTAGAGCCCACGCTTTCACGATCGAGTGATCGAGGACAGCGCGACGACGACGACGACGTCGCGGTGGCGGCGGCGGCGACGACGACGACAACGTCTCATCTTAGAGCCTTGCGTGGGGTGTCTCGGGGTTCTCTTGGAGGGTCTCTTGGGGGTCTGTAGAGCCCACGCTTTCACGATCGAGTGATCGAGGACAGCGCGACGACGACGACGACGTCGCGGTGGCGGCGGCGACGACGACGACGACAAAGTCTCATCTTAGAGCCTCTCGTGGGGGGGTCTCCGAGGGTTCTCTGGGAGGGTCTCTTGGGGGTCTGCAGAGCCCACGCTTACACGATCGAGGGCTCGAGGACAGCGCGACGACGACGACGACGTCGCGGTGGCGGCGGCGGCGGCGACGACGACGACAAAGTCTCATCTTAGAGCCTTGCGTGGGGGGGTCTCTTGGGGTTCTCTTGGAGGGTCTCTTGAGGGGTCTGTAGAGCCCTTACACGACGAGGGATCGAGGACGGGGCGGCGGCGACGACGACGACAAAGTCTCATCTTAGAGCCTTGCGTGGGGGGTCTCTTGGAGGGTCTCTTGGGGGTCTGTAGAGCCCACGACGACGACGTCGCGGTGGCGGCGGCGGCGACGACGACGACAAAGTCTCATCTTAGAGCCTTGCGTGGAGCGGTGTCTTGGGGTTCTCTGGAGGGTCTCTTGGGGGTCTGTAGAGCCCACGCTTTCACGATCCGACGACGTCCATTAGCTCTGGGGCAGCTACTATGTGTTCAGGCAGCTCGAGCTTAAGATCCAGATCAGTTCGGTCAGGACTCGGATGCAAAGGAGGACTCGATCCACGAGGCTATAGAGCACAATCGCGCCATGGCACATCGCAATTCAGCACGGCGCAGCACAGCACTGATTTCGGCACGGTACATCAAGGTCGATGCACTCAGCATTGCAACTTGGCACGTTCCTTGGCACGTTCCGTGGGGCGTCCTTTGGCGAGTCCCCCTGGCACGTCGCGTCGCGCGTCCCCTGGCACATCCCGTGGCACATCCATTGGCACGTTCCGTAGCGCGTCCCCTTGGCACGTCCCGCGGTGCGACCCCATGGCACGTCCCCTGGCACGTCGCCTGGCGCATCCCTTGGGACGTTTCGCGGCGCGTCCTCCTGGCATGTTCCCCTGTCCATTAGCTCTGGGGCAGCTACTATGTGTTCAGGCAGCTCGAGCTTAAGATCCAGATCAGTTCGGTCAGGACTCGGATGCAAAGGAGGACTCGATCCACGAGGCTATAGAGCACAGTCGCGCCATGGCACATCGCAATTCAGCACGGCGCAGCACAGCACAGCCCTCGGCAGGGTACATCAAGATCGATACCTTCAGTATTGCATTTGCCCGTCACCCAATCAGGTGTCTTTGAAAACGCTGCCATGTGTTACAGTTCTACATTCCTTTCCGGGTTCGTGGGTCGATCATGTTCCCGGAAATTGCGCGGGCCGAGGGTTCTCTTTTAGTTTGTCTATTGTCCCCGGTGCCATGACTGAGGTTGGCCGCCAGATTCTTTTCCGGATAATTATCAAGGTCGAGGTGGGCCGGCGGATACAAAAATGAGGCTGTCTCGAGCGAAACGCTTGTTTGTTTCCCAGAACTTGTTAAGGAAGTCTCGAGCGAAACG